GGACCCGGAGGATTTAATGGGGGTAAGTCAAGTCAATGGAAAGTCAAACCGAAACCAAATACCATTATAAATTCTTATTAATCCCAAATGTTTCCCTTGACAGGCAACTTTATGCCAAATGGTGCTCCCAATGGTGCAGCTGGCAGCGGACCCAATGCCGGTGGCATGATGTCCGGCCCCAATGTGCCACAAATGCAGTTGACTCCGGCCCAGCAGCAGCAACTGATGCGCCAACAGCAGCAGCAACAGCAACAGCAGCAACAGCAGCAGCAGCAGCACATGGGACCTGGTGGCGGCAACAACATGCAGATGCAGCAACTGCTGCAGCAGCAGCAATCCGGTGGCGGGGGCAACATGATGGCCAGCCAGATGCAGATGACCAGCATGCACATGAGCCAGACGCAGCAGCAGATCACCATGCAGCAGCAGCAGCAGTTCGTGCAGAGCACCACCACGACCACGCACCAGCAGCAGCAGATGATGCAGATGGGTCCGGGTGGCGTCGGTGGCGTCGGTGGCGTCGGTGGCGTCGGTGGCGTCGGTGGCGGCGGTGGCGGAGTGCCCGGATCGGCAAGCAACAATAACGGCGGCGGTGGAGGTGGTGGTGCCGGCGGAGGCAACTCCGCGTCGACCATTGCCAGCGCCAGCTCCATCAGCCAGACGATCAACTCGGTGGTGGCCAACTCGAATGATTTGTGTCTCGAATTCTTGGACAACCTGCCCGTGGACAGCAACTTCTCCACGCAGGATCTGATCAACTCCCTCGACAACGACAACTTCAACCTGCAGGACTTCAACATGCCGTAGACAGGCCATGTCGGGAAGCACTCAAACACCACCATCACCACCACCACCTCCAGCCAGCACCAAACACAACCACCACCACCATAACCACCACGATGTTGCCTCAGTTTTGTTTAGATTTTTTATTTTGTTGCCTGTTGTTGTTATTGGCCTGGGCAGCCGTACCCAATCGCCCTACCGCCTACCGCCTATCGCCCCGCCCCCCCCGTTCCTGCCAACGAAGTTATTTTGTTTGTTATTTGTATGTGAATTTATTCCTAAGCTAAGTTCGTTCGTCTAATGTACTCTAATTTCGCGGGCTCCACTGTATTGTATTGTATTGTATTGTATTGTATTGTATTGTACTGTATTGTATGTATTATTAGAGCTGTTCCCATGGTCCAAGGCGTGCGCCCAAAGTGGGGCGTGGCACCGGTCGAAAGTGAGAGCGAGAGAGCAAGAGTTCGCAAGACATTCCATATGCACCGGTCGAACTAAGGGATTAGGGAAAATTCGAGAAAGTATTTGCAAGTACTTTAAAATCAAGCGAATAGGAAAAAAGATTTCAAATTCACATACACCGAGACACAGACTTGCGCTGTGTAACTTAAGCACTTGTACTTAATGCAAATTTTTGTGCCACGCCCAGCGGATTGCACGCCCCATTTCGTTTGATTACTTAAGCAAAAACCAGATGAAATAATGGAAGCAAAACGCAAAAAGAACCAACAACAAAACAAAATCGAAAAACAAAAAAAACAAAACACAAAATAGTTGTACATTTTATATTGTATTTAATTTTATTTAATTTTCATAAAAACAAAATCGACAAACTAAATGAAACAAAAGAAAACGAAACAAAACAAAACACAAAAAAAAAAAAATGGGAAAACAAAATCGAGAAACTGTCAGAATAAAGAGCAAAAATATTGGTGATATTTTAAATGCTTAAAACACAAATTGAGAAATAAGCGAATCAAACGAGAATACAACAAAATGCGAAGACCACAAAGCAAACTGAAAGGGAAGAACTTTTTAAAAACAACATAAACAACAATTTGAGAATGAGAAACAGTTATTATTATTATAATTCTAATTATTATTGTACATTAATTTTTTTAAAAGAGTTCATTTTTAAATGGAATTTTAAACGCGGAGCAACAGTGCGAGAAATGCGCAAACAAAACATATTTAAAAAATATACACTATATATATTATGCGTAGTTTTTGGTAGTGAAACGTAATTAGTAGTTTGTTAAATAAATTGATATACACCCACAAATACATAATATACAAATCATATGTATGCGATCCGATATATTTGATTACTGTAAAAGCAGCGCTAACAATTTACGAGTATATAATTAGTTCTAAGACGCCACAAAATGTTTGAGGAGATAAGCGGAGATCGAAATTTATATTTACTACATGCGCCTGGCCGCATTACCAAGTGATGCCATGCCAAGCCAAGCCACGCCCACATAGATGAGGATGAAGAGGAGGATGAGGAGTAGGAGGACGAACAATATTAGAGCAAACAAGAAATCGCGAAAACAAGCTAACAAGCAAATGAAAACGCCAGAGATTCCAGCAATGAAATTATTGTACGACAACTAATTAGAGCAATTCCATAAGTCCGTAAGTTAGACGTTCAGTTGAGGCCATAGAAATTTTTGAACCGGGCACCCAGCGGTCGCCACTTCCACAATTATATAGTAACAGACAGCTCACAGCCATTTTTGCAGAGTTTACATTAATTAGGATCGACAGCAACAAATCCATAGCACACGCCTAGCAAAAAAATATATAATAAATTTAATGAAAAGTATTTAAGCCGCAGACAAACAAAACAAAACAAAACAAAACGATAAAAATCTAACAAAATTTACTATTACAATTATAAATGAATAAAATACGCGAATTGTAGCTTGTAATTAATGCTAAAGATACGAAGTAAAAATTTGTTTATAACTATTATATACCGCAAATTATATATACACTATTATTACTATATACAATATGGCATATTATTATTACATATATATTTCATCATGAAAGCAAACTAGCGAACAAAATCGTAAGGTGTTCAAAGGCCGCCTCGCTAAGCAGTTCCATTGGTCACTTGAGGCCAATCACGGCGAGAAACAGAAGCAAATCCGAACTTGATATCAATTAACGAGAAATCAACCAGCTGCCAGCGGCAAACCAAAACATTAAATATGTATTTACCACTTCAACACTGCAAAGGACAAGGGCAAGAGCATCGCAATTGCTTTAAGCCCATTATATTTTCACCCAAAAGTAAAATCGATTGGTGCAAGCGAGTGGTTTTCTATTCGATTAGCCAACATTTATTGGTGCGTTAGCCTTCTGTTTGCCGTTCTGTTGTTCTCCGAGATTGAACAAAATGTTGGGAAGCAAAAAAAACATTTAAAGATGTTCTTTTACTATTAAAAAAGGAAAGTAACAAAATAAAATAGAAAAATATTACTTTTGTAAATAAATTTAAAATTGTTTTTATTTACTGGCACTCTTTTGTATCTTAGATTGGGAAACATTAATTGATTTTTCTGATTTTCTGAAAAGAGGTGAGCTTATAGCTGTAACGAATAATAAAAATGGTTTAAGCTAACAAAAATATATCTTATGATTTATATGAATTCTACCAAATTAATATGAGCTGAAAATTTAGAAATTTGACATTAAAAATGACAAAAACGACTTAAACGCAGTTTTTAAGATACTTAAGCCACAAGACTTTAAAGATATACCACTTTAAAACCGGATGTCTGTAAGAAAAGTTATGGATTTAAAACTGCGGGTTTTTGGTCACTTTTCAGCAGTCATTTTTCGAAAATTTAGAAAGGGGTAACATCATTAAAAATGACAATAAATTGACCCAAAATTACTAACCAAGACTTAAACGCAGTTTTTAAGATGCTTTAGCTACAAGACTTTAAAGATATACCACTTTAAAATCGGATGTCTGTAAGAAAAGTTATGGATTTTAAACTGCGGGTTTTTGGTCACTTTTCAGCAAAGTCATTTTTCGAAAATTTAGAAAGGGAAATCATTAAAAATGACAAAAAATCGACCCAAAATTACAAACCAAGATTTAAACGCAGTTTTTAAGATACTTAAGCCACAAGACTTTAAAGATATACCACTTTAAAATCGGATGTCTGTAAGAAAAGTTATGGATTTAAAACTGCGGGTTTTTGGTCACTTTTGAGCAAAGTCATTTTTCGAAAATTTAGAAAGGGGTAACATCATTAGAAAATGACAAAAAATCGACCCAAAATTACTAACCAAGATTTAAACGCAGTTTTTAAGATGCTTTAGCTACAAGACTTTAAAGATATACCACTTTAAAATCGGATGTCTGTAAGAAAAGTTATGGATTTTAAACTGCGGGTTTTTTGTCACTTTTCAGCAAAGTCATTTTTCGAAAATTTAGAAAGGGATCATTAAAAATGACAAAAAATCGACCCAAAATTACAAACCAAGATTTAAACGCAGTTTTTAAGATACTTAAGCCACAAGACTTTAAAGATATACCACTTTAAAATCGGATGTCTGTAAGAAAAGTTATGGATTTAAAACTGCGGGTTTTTGGTCACTTTTGAGCAAAGTCATTTTTCGAAAATTTAGAAAGGGGTAACATCATTAGAAAATGACAAAAAATCGACCCAAAATTACTAACCAAGATTTAAACGCAGTTTTTAAGATGCTTTAGCTACAAGACTTTAAAGATATACCACTTTAAAATCGGATGTCTGTAAGAAAAGTTATGGATTTAAAACTGCGGGTTTTTGGTCACTTTTCAGCAAAGTCATTTTTCGAAAATTTGGAAAGGGGTAACATCATTAAAAATGACAAAAAATCGACCCAAAATTACTAACCAAGATTTAAACGCAGTTTATAAGATGCTTTAGCTACAAGACTTTAAAGATATACCACTTTAAAATCGGATGTCTGTAAGAAAAGTTATGGATTTAAAACTGCGGGTTTTTGGTCACTTTTCAGCAAAGTCATTTTTCGAAAATTTAGAAAGGGGTAACATCATTAAAAATGACAAAAAATCGACCGAAAATTACAAACGAAGAAGGTTGAAACGCAGTTTTTAAGATACTTGAGCCACAAGACATTAAAGATACAATGTTCACTTTGGAACCTTTATCAAGACACTGTCGCAAAACTAAAAAAATAAGTTGCTATAGTTTTCATTCATATTTATTGATTCTTCATACGCATGTTCATAATACATAATTGCATATTTTACGACTTATGATTAATATTTCCATATTTTTCCATTTGAAATACTTGCATTTAAAGTGTATGTGTGGTGGTGTGTGCTTTAATCGTTTAACATTATCATGTGGGTGTACGCATATTCAATAATCCTCCTATATAGCATCTGCAACACATTCGTAATTGCTGCTGTACGTATTAGACCCATCGATTGGTAATGGGAACTGCAAGCGGTTATACATGTGTTTGACTTAACTAAGCACTCCACGTAGGTTTACTAGGCAGTTAAACTTAAAAATTAACAAGCTTGATGGCTAATCATATTTGTGTACATGTACGCTTGGGGTGTGGTTGGTGGAACTAAAACAATTTACAAATAATTAGCAACTATTGCGAGAACTAAAAAGTGTGCTAAAACCTAATTAGATGCTAAATTCTCCAATATATACTCGTATGTTAATGTTAATGTTTATGGTTTTGTTTTAGGTTTTCTAACTTTTCAACACTTAGATGCTAGTGCTAAAGGTGCGGCCTGCCAATTCGAACGATTTCATTATATTTCCATCCAATTCTTTCAATACCTCAAAAAGTTGATGTTTAAACATTGTAAATGCTTGGTTAGTATTCATTCAGTATTTACGCGAATGCTGTTTCGATATCTTCTGTGTTCTGTATGTATTATGCAATAAAATCAGCCTTAGTTATAATAATTGTTACTCGTGAAAACGCATTTATAAGTTTCGGGTTGCCTATGACGATATTTGCATTAAGCGCTGGCAAATATTTGAGAACCTCTTTCAATACAATACGTGACTTCTTCATCTTAAATCCCCTCCTGTAATACTCTGGCAAGTTAAAGTTTTGTCTAAAAAAACAATTATACAAAAAATCTGTTAAAAGTAAAAATCTGTAAATTTTACTAGCAAAAATTTACGTTTTGTTTTCAATTTCGATTTTTTTTTCTTGTTCTTCTTTTCGATTATAAACTTGTCCGCCTATTGAAATATTTGTTTTATAAATATTTTATTTAAAAACATTATACGTTTTATGCACTTAGTATTTGTTAGTTTAGTTTAGTTTAGTTGACTTGACTTGACTGGAAATTCGGCTAAATGCTCAAATTCAAATATTATTGTTACTCGGTGCAAATTCCGCCTCCCTGCTTTCTCTAGGCATATAAAACCTACGGCTAGTTGTGTATAAGAGTAATGTTAATGCAATGTCGTTTAAATGTTTTGTGCACTAGTCGAACACGAACACGAACACGAATGATCAATGGATGGATACTGAATAAATGAACTTGCCTGGCGCTGGCGCCCTTCCAACATTACGAACTAGGATCGCATTGACCTTTGACACATTGTGCAGATCGAAAGCAAACTAAAAGAACGAAATCTAGAATGATATTCTGGCTACTGTCTTTGAGTTTGTTTTCAATGGTTGGGTTAACTAATCATTAGATATTGCATACATACTTGCTGTTCGATTACAAATAGCGATTAGTTGCTGCTCGCGGGCAGCCTACATAAATTTATATCACACGCAATAAATATAATAAAAGTAATTGAGGATTTCGAAATCAAACAAATTGCAGTTCGAACTTTGAACATCCTACTACCACAAATCAGATCTGTCTGAAATGGTCTTCTCTATTCATGTTTTCGGCTGTTTCAGGCAGTTGCAGCTATTCGTTGTGAGTGGCAATGACTGTTGACTAACACTAACTAACGATGTAACGATTTGGCAAACGGTTAAACGATTTGATTCCCCAGGCTTAGTTTAGTGCAACCTATGGTGGTTGGCCTTGGGCATCGACCCCACGATGCGGACCCTTCCCAAGGTGCCCACAGCTCCAGCGCCAGCACCGCCGGACAGCCGCTGGTGCATCTGCAGCATCTGTTGCTGCTGCAGTTGCTGTTGCAGTTGTTGCTGCTGCTGCTGTTGCTGCTGCTGTTGCTGCAGTTGCTGGTGTTGCTGTTGCTGCTGTTGCTGTTGCTGCTGTGGATGATATTGGTTCGTTGGGAGATGCGGCTGCGGCGCGTGCTTGGCATCGTTGCAATCGCAGAACTGCGGCGGTGGTGCCAACACCAGATTGTCGGTGCACAGTTGCTGCAGATTGTTGTTGCCCGACTGCACCGCAGCCGCCCCAACGCCCGGAACGCCAGCAACAGCGCCAGAGGCAACAGCCACCAGCTGTCCGCTGGGCAGCATGCCCACAATGTGGGCGGCCATCGGCTGTTGCTGCTGCTGCTGTTGCAGTTGTTGCTGCTGCTGCTGCTGGAGTTGCTGCTGCTGGAGTTGCTGCAGCTGGTGAGGATGTGACGGATGATGGGCCTGCTGACGCTGGAGCGTGAGCTGCGTTGGCTCGCCATCGCTGTCCGCCTCCAGAGGCGGCGGGAGTTGCATCAGGGACACGGCAGTGGTCCTGGTGGCTCCCCTCTGCATGGCAATCGCTGCCGCTTGCTTGCGGGTCAGCGAGTTGTGGCGCTGAAAGGCCTTGGCCGGCGGCGAGGGACTCAGGTCTCCGTCATCGTCCTCCAGATCGGAACGCGCCTCCATCTCCGACTCGTGGCCACTGCTGGTGCCCTTGTGCAGCTTCTGCTGATGCTTGGCCACCAATGCGGCCGTGTTGCTGGCTCCTCCGGCCGCGGCCGCCTTTGCCTTGAGAATCTGTTGCAGGTGCTGCTGGTGGGCCATCTGCTGTTGCTGCTGCTGCAGTATCTGTTGCTGGGTGGCAATCAGCTTCTGGTTGGGATTCGATTGTTGCTGCTGTTGCTGTTGCTGCTGATGATGATGCACGTTGGGAATGCGCCCCAAGACTTGAGGACTCATCACATTGCTGTTGATGATGTTGCCCTGTTGCGAGAACTTGTTGCTGTTGGCCACCGTCACTGCTGGATGCTTGCTGCCCAGTTGCTGCTGCTGCTGTTGGATAGCGGGTGCATGTTGCTGCTGTACAAGTTGCTTCACCGTCAGTGTGGGAGTGGCCGCTGCACTATGCCCTCCGCCGCCTATGCTGATTGTGGTCTTGGCCATTGGTTTACTACTCTGACTGGTGTTGCTGCTCTGACTGGAGTGGCTGATGTTGCTGGTGTTGCTACTGGGCTGATCGGGAATGGTCTTGGGCTCCTCCACAATGGTCACCGACGGCTTCTTCTTGATGGTATCGGTGGGCTTTCCGCCCACTGGCAGTGTCACTCCTGCGGCCAATGCCATCTGCTCCTGCTCGCTGCTCACACCGGAGCTGCTGTTGTCGCACTCATCTTCGCCTGGCTGCAAATGTTGCTGCGGTTGCTGCTGCTGCTCCTGTGGTTTCTCCTCTTCTGGCTTCTTGGCAAAGCCGTTTGGCGACGACTTGGATGTCTTGAGATTGCTGCGAATGCGCTGGATCTCCTCCACGGAGAGTGAATGGGAAATGGAGGCACTGCCCGAGTTGGAACTGCTTCCACTGCGTAAGTGTTAAATCGGGGATTAAGAAATATATATATATTATAGAGTGAGATAACACTTACCTAGCCTGACTGTTGCCGCTTGTCTCGGGCACATCGAAAAGCGCAATCTTCTCGTTGAGCTTGGTGTTGCGTGCCACCAGAATGGAGTTCTCATCCTCGCCATCCGACTCGCTGCAGCTGTAGTCTGGTTCGGGAATCGGAGGAGCATTTCCAGCTCCACTTGTGCTGCCATTGCCAGTGGCATTGCCATTGCCATTCTGGGCTGGAACAGGTGCCGCCTGTGGCACTGGTGGAGCAGGCGGGGATTGGGGTGCCGACTGCTGCACCTGTTGCACTTGAGGAGCGGCATAGTGGGAGGCCAATACCGTGGGCGGCTGTTGTGGTTGCTGTTGTTGCTGCTGCTGTTGCTGCTGCTGCTGCTGCTGTGGTGCACGTAGCTGCGTGGGCGCAGCATACTGACTGACTGGCTGCTGGGAGCCAGCGGATGTCTCCTGCGATGGCTTCTCCTGCGCCTGCCGCAACTTCCAGGCCATCACGTTGCGCAGCTCCTGCGGCGAGGCATAGATCTTGGCATTGGCCGACGGGTTGAAGCTGCTCTGGACGCCATCGATGGCGGCACTGGTCACCGCATCGTTCTCCGTCCGCTTCTTCAGCTTCTGCTGCAGGGAGACGGTGCTCTCGTACTCCGACACACTGCTGCGTGTCTCCACCTTGACCACTTGACCCACTGGCGGCGGTGGTGGTGGGTGGTTGGGCGGCGGTAGGACCGCTCCTCCACCGGCTGCTCCTCCGCCCTGCTTCAGTTCTCCCTGGTTGGCGTTCAAGCGTTGCAGTGAGGCATGCAGCGTGGCCACATCGTCCTGCGAATGGTGACCCTTTCCGGCCGCCTGCCAAATGGACGAGGCAGAGCCGTGCAGCTGCGGACCGTGCAAATCGGGCGTGGAATGGAACCGCTTGAGGTCACGACCGCCTCCTGCTACGCCCGCTCCCACAGTGGGCGTGGCCACGGGCTTGCCACGTAGGGTGCCAGTGCCAGTGGCATTGCCCGGGCCATGCTTGCTCCTCGCCGTCTTGCGCTTCATTTCGGCCACACTGCCGTAGACCAGGGGGCCACTCCTCATGGGCGAACCATTGGCGGCGGGCGGAGTGGCCGCTCCACTATCGGTGCCCGACTGGAACCGCGAGCTGGTCATCATGGTGGCATAGCGGCTGGCGCTCGCAGCACTGCCCTCGCCCTGCTGCCGCTGGAAGAGCTCCTCCAGTTCGGCAGCCGTGATCCTGCTCGAGGTGGGCCGTGCCTTGATGCTGGCCGTGCGCAGCTGAACGGGAGTTCCGGGTCCCGTTTGGTTGCCACCCGGTGCCGGTGTGGCAATCGACTCCACCGAGTTGGACTTTGTGTGCGGCAACTCGTCCTCCTTCTCTCCGCCGTTCTCCAGGCCAGCCACCATGGACTTGGCCCTGGCCCGACCCACACTCAAGGTGGTCTTGGGATCCCTTCTCGGCGGCATCGGAGCCATGCGCACACTGCCCCCCGAGGAGGAGGCTGGCCCGCCTCCGCCTGCGCCTCCGCCCGGACATCCCGTCATCTTTCTGGGCAACGTGGCGCACTGGCGGTGCGAACTCTGCGGCGTACTTGGCCCACTGTTCAGGTGCTGGCTGCCCACGCGTGCTCCACTCGGCAGGTACTGGGCACTGGCCTGCATCTGGTGGGGAAACTGGGGCGAGACCACCGTCAAGTTGACCAGCGCGCCCGCCGAGCGGATCATCTCGACCACCTGCTCGTGCGAGGCGGAGCTCACGTCCTCGCCGTTGATCGTCAGCAGGAAGTCGCCCGGACGCAGGCCGGCCATGTCGGCCACTCCACCGGGATCCACGTCGTCCAGGTATTGCAGCGCCGGAAAGCGCTCCGAGGGGCGCAACTGCATCAGTTGGGAGCTGGCCTTGGCGCCGCGCAGGATGAAGCCGAAGCCACGCTTGGCCCGGTGCAGCACCACCGAACGTGGCGCATTGTAGGCGCTGTTTGGGGATTGGTAAAATGGGAAGAGATGTTTTATTAGCTTGGATGACTATCTATCTATAGGGATTCTCTCGAACTCCTACCTCTTCTTGATGCGCGGAGCAGTGGCGCTGCTGTACTGACCCACCGAGTGGTTGTTGTTTCGGTTGCTCAACCCATTGCCAGGTGCTCCTCCTCCGCCGCCATTGCTCTCAGACGGCTGCTGCTTCTGCTGCTGCTGGCAGGATCCATTGCTGGCCACCGAGAGCGAGGGCGAATGGTGGGGCTGCTGGAGCAGGGTGCTGGAACTGCCGGAGTGTCCGCCCAGGCTCAGCTGGGGTGAACCCTGGAAGGAGCCGGCGGCGGCGGCGGAAGAGGCCGGCGCATGCTGCTGTTGCTGCTGCTGCTGGGGAGCAGCCATGCCGGTGCTGGCGGTCATCACGTTGGTGATGTGCTTCTGGCGCAGACTCACCTCCTGGACGCAGTCGGCCGGAAAGAAGCCGGACTGGTTGGTGCCGCGCACATAGCCCTCGAGGAGGCCGCAGTCGGTGCTGCCCACCACCTCGATGACGTCGCCGGGCTGCAGGCGGATGTGGCCCACGGTGTTGCCCACATACGGCTCCATGCACACCACCGTGGTGCTGGGATGGCCGATGGAGCAGGCTGCCGAGTCTGAGTTGGTTCCCACGCCCGACGAGTCGCTGATTATGTCGCTGGTGTCGCCCAGGGATTTGTCTGTGCGAAGGAGGACGAGAGGGTGAGTGGGTGAGTGTTCCCCAAAGCGTTTCGTTTAATGAATATGGGGCAGAGGAGTCGTTTGACTGGCATGCAAATGTTCTGGACACACAAAAGAAGCCTCCGGTTAAGCGAAGGCAAAGCGGATGCTGCACACAAATACTGACACGATTGAAAATGGAAAGGTTTATAAAGTTAAGCTGCAGATCTTTGGCCGGGAAATCCAGCAAAGAAAATGATTTCAGTTTTACTCAAATTAATTGCAAAATCTTATGGTGGGTTGACCGATGAGTTCTTTGGAATTTTTTAGAAAATTAAGAGACAATACAATGATAACTTAAAAGACTAGGAAGCCGGAAATTCCGATTTAGAAAGCAGAATCTTGACAGCAATACTTTGTTATATATGTAAAAAGGATTCATTTTTAATATAAAACATATTGAAATCTTTACTATTTTTTTGACATTTTTTAAATCAGAAGTCTGTTTATATAAATACGTCATATTTATGGCTTATGGTAATTGACAATGAAATCTTACAATAAAGAAAAGTAAACGAAATTTTAAGTTAAGTTTTCATGATTTCAGTTATATGTGTAAAAAGGATTCTTTAATTATGTATACAAATTGGAATCAGCCAATTTTTGAATGAAACTTTAAATGTTATATAAAAATCAGAAGCCTGGTTGACTTTATACAATTTATGGTTTATAGTAAATGACACTTTAACGAAATCTTAAAATAAAGAAAAGTAAGCAAAACTTGAAATTATGTTTCGATGATTTAAGACATTTAGAATATTATCTGTGCGAGACTTTATGGTAGAAAAATCATGCAACTTCAGTTTGATCATATAAAATCTATTTAAATGCATGCTTCAAGAATTATAGAATGTAAAATATGCAGAGTAAATGTTAGCGGTATACTTATCCATTTGATGTAGATCTATTTATTAATACTATTTACAGGAATTGAAGACGCTTTGTCTTCCCCAAAAACTTATGACAAACTTAGGCTTAGGCAAAGGCAAAGGCAAATGCAAATGAGGTTGAACCGGAAATCAAAGCCATTCCTCACCTGTCACAATGCTGATGTCGTCCTCGTGGGAGCGGTGGCCGGAGGAGCCCTCGGAGAGGCTGGAGCTGGCGGAGCTGTAGGCCCCCAGCATGTGCTCCGAGGGGCACGGCGAGGGGGGCCCGTGGAGCTGCAGCGTGTGCAGGTGGGGCAGCTGCTGCTGCTGGTGCAGCTGCTGGTGGTGGTGCTGGTGGTGCAGATGCTGCTGCTGATGCTGATGGTGGCCATGGTGCTGCTGGTGGCTCTGATGGCTGAGCATCAGACCAACACCGCCAGCCCCGTTACCGTTGGCAGGACCATTGGAACCGTTCGAACCGTTCAGGCCGACCATCGCACCACCGAAGCCACCGCCAGCCGCTGCCAGCAGAGCTGCGCCGGCGGCTCCGTTGGCGCTCAACCACCCGATGCCCGAGCGGCGCTTGGGATTGTAGCGCGGCGGTCCGCGAAAGGGAACTGTGTGGTGATCAAGGATATTCGCTTAAAATGTGTGTGATTTGGTGGGTGAGTGGGGAATCAGGAGGAGGATTGTCAATGTGGGCTATGATTGGGCAGAATGTTTTCGGTTGAAGTTGGTTGTCAAGTCTGGCTGTCGTTGGAGCACTTTGTTTCGGAGAAATCGTTGCAAAATCAAGAATACTTTAATATAATTTGAAATCACTAGGGTTTTGAAACTAGTTGTAAAGGTGTGTAAGAGTAACCAACAAAATATTATAAATCTATAAGTCCTTTTTAATTTATTTCAAAGAGCGACGTTATTTTTTAGACGCCCTTTAAAAGGATTCAAAAACCATATTGGTTTCTCTGCCACCCCACATAATTTAACATTTACTTTTCAAAAACAAAGCATTTAATTATATTCTTGATTTTAAAATTTCTTCATAATGTAATCATTTTATTTTTCTTTCCTATTCCCAATATCCAGGTGTATTCTCTACTCAATCTATGTTTAAGTAAATTAAGAAATTAAGGTGATAATCTAAAACCCTAAATTTTCCGGGGATTAAATAACACACTTTACTTACATTTACTTACTGCCATTTTTCGAAGGTTTAGCGTCTGTGATAAGAAGCAAAAAATGGGAAGGACATTCTACTTATGTCCCGCCAACAAAACAAACTGGCTAGGAAAGGTGATATATGTAGGTATGTATGATAGAACACTAATAACATTGAACAAAACATGGAACAAGAACAGCCAAAATATTTCGAGTGTGGCATAAACAAAACTATTTGATTCGATTACATTTACGGAGCAAATATCTCAAACAAGCAAATGCAAAATACGAAAATGTGGTTGGGTAAAGTATAGGTTGCACTTTATATAGATTTTTAAAAGAGTACAGATATTTATATATATACGAGTAATATACATTGATATGGGGATAAAGACCTAGATGATCTATTTGGATGATAGATTGATTGATTGATTGTTTGTTGAATGATTGATGGATGATATGCAAGTGTGTTCAAAGAGAGAGATAAATAGATATGAAGTGAGACGCACAAAAAGCTGATGGGGAAAACTGATTCGAACTAAGTGGAAAAGGAAACTATTTTTGGATGTGACCAATATAATGCGGAATTAAATAGATTGAGTAGAGCAAACGAATTTTAAATAAGAATCTAAGTAGAAACAAGGATAAATTAGGAAGGCGTTTCAAGACATCCGAAGCGCCTTCCTGTTTAATGGGATTTTTGGTTTGAGTTTGATGAGTATGAAGTTAGTTCGGTTGCGAGTACGAGTCGAGTGTTTTTCAGGTGGTAAACGATGGAGTCGTTTAAAAATCGGCCACAACTTACCAATATCCTCAGATTTGTAGTTCTCAATGATTTCGGCCAGCTCCAAGTTGCCGGCTATGACAGCCACCTAAGGGAAACAGCATTGCATTAAAAACCGGTATTCCAAAGACCAAACCAAGTTATTAACTCAAAACACTAACTTATTAACTAGACTGAACTACAAGCATAACTACAGCAGCACAAAAGTACCAACTTAAAGACTACAAACTACAAGTTATCAACAAAATTCAGTAAGTTTTTTTTTGGATCCAGAGTGTACACAGAGATAAAAATTTGCATTTCTAATTAATGTATATAATAGTTGGTTTTTCTATGAAAGAACACAATCGAGAAATATTTGTTTGTTCTATACTTAAAACAAATATATAATTAACATTTTTTTTTAATTTAATACTACAAGAAAATATGGGTTTTCCTAGATTTTTTGTTATAGTTGAATTGTTATTGTTGAATTTTTCAAATTTAGATTTGCAATACATTTTTCTCTGTGTAGTTTCTAGAGTCCAGAGACACTGGGCTTTACCTGGTAGGGAGTTTGGTTGGCAAAGTTCTGGGCGCCGCGCTGGGCGCCGCGAAAGAGAAGCATTCTAGCACAAGCCTCTTGGTTGTTAACAGCGCACACATGCAGCGGACTATTGCCGGACGCATTGCGGCCGTCCATGTCAGCACCGTAGAACAGCAGGTGTTCCAGGTGCTGCACCAGGCCATGCCGACAGGCCTGCGGATCGAACGGGTGAGCATGATCGTGGACACGATCGGAGACAGCCAAAGGATGCAGCAGAGATGCATATGCCAACCCGCGTGTTACAGAATATTAGCAAGCGAATTTGTTTGTTTTTGTTTTTTGGTCGTTTTTTGTTTTTTGTTTTTTTTTTTTTTGGTTTTGTTTATAGAGTTAGAAAAGAAGAGTTCAAGAAAGGAGAGAGAGAGAGAGAGAGAAAGAATTCAATCATTAATTGGCGTTCAACGGTTTTTGGGCCAACACCATTTCACCGGGGATTGGCTCGGGGTCAAAGCGGTTGCTGTTAAGGATCGCGAGCGCCAAGGACCGTCACCGACTCACCTGGTGGACCTCGTTCCAGCCCTGGCTGTCCTGGATGCCCAGCGTGGCATGGTCGTGCAGCAGGCTCTCCGTGATCTTGGCCTCGCACTTCCTGGTAATGGAGATGTACAGCGGAGTGATGCCACGCCCATCGCGGTAATTTGGCGAGGCACCAAGTTCAAGGAGGGTACTGAGCGATACGGAAAAGAAAATTAGCATATTTCAGAGGGGGAAAAGAAAGTCATCTCCACTACCTGACCGCCTCCAGGGAATCGTGCTCCACAGCTCGATGCAGAGCCGTGGTTCCATCCTTGGTCCTGTAATCCAGCAAAGCTCCACCATTGACCAGAGCGATGAGCAGCTTATTGGGCTTCTTGGCTCCCGTGGCCACTGTCAGCGGAGTATCGCCGCTCTCCGAGCAGTGGAAATTGGGATCGAGGCCCTTGGCACACATCTTGGCTATCTTCTCCACATGCCCGCCATTGATGCACTCCAGAAAACGCCGCAGATTGGCACGCGTGTGAAGAGCCTTCAGTTGGCGTTCATCCAGGGTGAGCATTTTGTACACGCGTCTTTTGTACTTGAGCTAGGGTTTTGGGGCAGAGCAATAAATTAGAGAAAAACGTGAAAAGATGTCTAACGCCAGATGCTCACCTCCAAGTAGCCCACGGGTCCGTTGAAGGGATAATCGCCCAGGCGGCGTTCCTCATCCAGGAATTTGCCCGCCTTGCCATTTGCGGGTGGGGCAAACAGGCCATAGTTGAAGCTCTCCTTCAGTTCCTGCAAAAAAATTAAAAACAAGGAGGTGGGAAACATTTAAGTACGTGTGTACACTGCTGATTCAGGTGCTCCATTGACGTGCTCAAGTCGTGCGAGTCCCACAAAAGACTTCCGGCCTAGCAATTGCTCAACTTCCTCCTTGTACTTATGCATATATGTAAACACTGACAGAAAAAGAATCCTAGCATATTTACTTGCAGAATAATATAGTTCTTGACTTTGAAGTCTGGATTGAAAATTAGAATGTAGTTAGAAATTGTATTAGAAAAAATATTTTTTGGTAAAATAACAGTTAGATTGTAAAGATGGTGTAGATACTTTTAAGACTTATAATATGCATTTTAGTTAAATTCTTAAAACACAGCAATTGTAATAAAACTACTCTAGATATTTTCTATATATTACAAATTTTCCACTGTTCATAAGTGCGTTGTGCATATGCGTTGTATCCTTTACAATGTCCTCGCTAATGAGCGCGTGACTGCAGCGCCAACTACAGACCCCAACAGACATTCTGGCATTCATAATTCACCGTTGCCTTTAAGTGGCAATTTCTTGTTTTAATTAAACAAAAAAAAAATGTACCGTTTCCCCAGCTCCCTACCCCTTTTTGCCACCCCGGAGAAGTCGGTCTGTGATGCACAGACTGCCAGAAAATGTCTCGAGTGTATAACGGGTTTGACATTGCCGCTGCATTAATTATGCAAAGTGCGTGTGTGCACACATGAGTCTGTGTGTTGCTTACCGCTTTTCCGTGTTCTATTTGCCTTTATTCCCCACGCCCTTAAGTGCCTCCGAAGGCAGTTCCATGTTGCCTCATAATGTGCCAAATGTTGCCATTAAAGTGAACAGTTTGTCGTGGATACCATGGCTGGGGTGTCAGCCAGATGGGTGGAAAATGGGGGTAATTGGTGAAGGAAAGTGGCATAGGAGATATAACAAAGGGCTTTTCTTCCAATTAACTATGATAATGTATTGTCTTGACAGTTGACGGTTTCACTAGAGTAGTTTTCTAGATGCTTAAGCATATTATATCACATATAAGAGGTAAATAGTTTAATAGAAGGACACTATGAATTTCATCGTAGTTTAATAATCGATATAGATAGAAATATAACACAAAATAAAAAAAAAAAACTTTATCAAATACTATTAATAAAAATACTCAATAGTATTCCTGCTAGTCAGAACTTCGGACCCTCCCCTTTTAATAATGTTCTAAAATAAAAGCCAACAAGTTATCTGCATATAGCCAGGCAATATCTGAATGCCATTCAGTTTATATGCACTTTTTCTTTCCAGTCACGTTTCCGAGACTTTGTTTATATAGTTGGATCCCCGGATTCATATGCAGGCAGTAGCAGTAGCAGTAGCAGTAACAGCAGTCCTTCTCTATGAAGACACCTACCCTTGGGCACATAAATTACAACCACACAAACTAACACGCCCCCAAGTAGCAGTTCCTGCCCCCAACTCGTCATATATCCCATCCCCAACTCGCTTTGGAAACAACAAAACACGTTAACGGCTGTGCGCCAAATGGATTTTATGGCGCCGCCCTCTATCCTCTGCCCTTTGGACCGCTCCCATTCCTACGGTGGCTTCTCCAACCCTCAACGCTGGGCACCCTGGGTCTCAGTTACAGTCTCAGTCATGCACATGCAAATTGCAGACACGTCGCTGGCCTAGACCCCAACAAAAACAAGCAAAGTTTGAAAAGCTTTTGAGACCGACGATTATAACACCCTTTGAAAACAATTCTTTCTATAATTTTACTCTAAGCCATGTTAATTATACGAGGATTTTTAAATCAATGTAATCAAGTAATCATGTCAGGAATTTATTCATTGCTTAAAGGTCCCGATGGTAACCTTATGCCATAAAATGTCTCACGAAGAGAGTTTTACATTTTTGAGATTACCTTGGTGAATTGTATCAGGAAAATATAAAGAAAATTTAATTTAAGATCATTGCTTACTGTTGACCAAGTTTGAAATACCCTTTGCAAGGGTATAAAAGGGGCAGAAGGGATGCCAACTTTTGGTTTTTTGGGGGTTGCCCTCCTGCCCGAAGGGAATGCTCAAAGTCAAGTTGTTTGCGCAAATTGCATTTTTATGAGTTTTGATTTCGATTTTCCAATCCGTAAGACGGCTCATAAAATAGCGTCGAAATTCGGTGGGGATTACAAAAGGGGCGATGTGGATGCTGTTTGGAAAAGTAATTTAGAACTTCTGCACAATGTTTGGCTTTAAAGCACTTTTCAAACTGTTTTTGCTCATTTTGGGTATTTTTTCCGTGCGACTTTGCTGGCTGCTGTATGCTGGCCATAAATTCAGTTCGGCTGCAACAAAGTGGAGCAGGCGGAATGTGTATTCGACATATTCGGTTGTATTTTTGTGGCAGCCCGGGAAGGGGCAGGTGGATGTTGGTGGGGCAATGTCCATAAATCATGGAGGAATTGCAACTGCAGGCAAGTAACATAACCAGTAGACCCAATGCCTCTCCAAAGGGTATAGAAACAAATTGCAATTTGCATGAAACTTACAATATTTCACAGTTTGAGAGACAGCTTGTGAAGTTTAAGAGTCTGGTATGTTTTGTGGCCAAGCAGTTTGAGAGCAGTGAAATTAGTTTCAAAGTCATTTATAAAGAGAAACCCAAGAACGAAACTGCAGATAATTTAATTTCAATTTCGAGCGATTGTAATTTTTTATTCATTTCTTAGAACAAAAGTTAAACACAACCCTCGAATAAAATATTAAATTGAAATTCTTTGAGAACTACCCACTTAAATGATATTTTTTTAAAAAGGTTACAGTTGGATAGGCACTGAGTTCCAAGCTCATCCGGAGTAGTTCAATTTAATTAAATTGCAATTGGCAATCTGCATGAAAAGTACTTAGTCGCACAGTTGGAGAGCCACTAGACCGCCGAGTGAGTAGTGAGTGTCAAGCTCAGACGCGAGAACTCAAGTAAATGTCAATGCGATGTGCAATGTTCGCTGTGCACTTGCAGCCAGCAAATAAGCGACTTCCTGTTCCAATAAGAAATACTCGCAAGACCCCGAGGCGACTCGGCCAACAACAATGCGAGCAGCAACAAAAGACATCATTGATAAATTGTCAAACAGTAGTTGGTTGGACTTTTTGCTGCATTTGTTGCAATTGTTTTCTTGTTGATTGAAAGCAAAACGAGAGGGAAATAGCGGCAGGTAAGCGTAAACAGTGCCAGCAAAAAGTAAATAGCCAGTCCGATGGACTGGACAGCCTCCAAGCATGTAAGTGGGTCGCAGACCATCTGTTGTTTTTCTACACAGAAAAATGTGGATTTTTCTTTGTTTCCAAATGAAACTAATGTTTAAATATTTAACTTTAAAACGTATAAGCTAGGCTTGTACAGAACCTTTTTTCGCAACCTTACAACATTTTTGCATTAGATTTGCTTGATTAAATATTTTTAAAATTGTCAGATATTTCTGTGGTTAGGTTTATTGGCCCAATACAGTTCAAAAAATTAATTTTCTCAATGTTTTCGGTGTAGCTGTAATCTCGCTCTATTGCCGCAATTAGAGTCGCCACTAACTCAAAGTTTGCAGTCTGCAGTTTTGAGTTTGCCGCTAAAGTCACGGCTTGCATTTGTTTTGATTTTTGGTTTTTTTCCACCTTCCACGGGAAACTTGGTGGCTTGGCGAGCACTAAACATTTATGGTCTCATTAGTGTCAGCACATTTTTTATGCCTTTTATTTTTGAACATTTGTGTTCGGTTTATTTTGGCATTTGGCAACGCGAACCTACAGTTTGGCAGTCATTGGTGCCTCCAACTCCCACTAAAAAGGTATTGAATAACAAACGTTCTGAGCCAAATGAGTTGACAAAGCAGCAAAGTGATAACGGAAACAGAAGAAAAAGGGCATAACCAGAAAAAAGATGCGGCACCATGGGGCAAATATAAAAAAAATGCTGGCCAATAAAAATACTTTTGCACCAAAAGATTTCTTGAATTAATTGAACTTAATGGTTTGAAATTACTAAACAAATATTTACTCAAAGAATTTTGCTTCAAAGTGCTTATCCACGGAATTCCATTCGAAATTTATACTTTCCGGAAAATTACCTTAGTTCTAGTTTACTTTTTTTAAGAAAATATTTACACACATGCGCCAATATTAAACAAAAGATCCATTTGTTCGGCAAATATGTTTTCTAGAGCACAATAACTGCGTCAGACTTTGTGAATCATTTCCTGCTCATTAGCTCCTAAGAAATAATCTCTCCATTTGTTTCCAGCTAATGCTAAATTTTAGAATTCCCTCGTTTTTTAACCGTCATTTAGTGTTTTGTCTGCCATTGTGCTTGCATCTTTGGCTCGCTTTGGGTTCTTTGTTGTGGAAGATTGTCCGATTCCGCTGATGTCTGGTCTTCTCAAGTTGCAGCCCAAGAGGCTTCAACATCAATTTATGTAATCTGCCAACTCGCACACACAGAAACCCCGAGACCTGGGTCTGGACTTGGACCTGGACTTGGTCACATCATCTTATAAATTTAGCTCGTTTGCCGAAAGGGAGCAGAAGGCACCAGAAGACGGGATGCCTGTGGTTAACCGCAGAGCCACTTTGAATCGCAGTTTGGAGCATCGAACAATGCCGCCCGAGCATCACCAACTTGAACCGCACACTGAACTTTTTTTATGATTTATTTTTTTTTTGGGTCGAGCTCATGATTTTTAATTAAATTAAATGCAGCATGAAATTATCAAATACGCTATATGTATTGCAATTATAATATTTCTTGATAGTTAAGATTCGTAAATTTAATTTTTCCATTTAATGTTAAAAATGTTATTAAATTTCTTTCAGTGCCCCTACCAGGAGATGCGTTCTTAAAACTGGTTTTCAGTCGCGGTTTCTGTTCGACATTCGCATTCCTATCGCCCGAGTTCGAGTGTTTGGCAATTTTGCGACGCTGAACTTGGAATGGTTTTGGGTTCGGTTTGTTTGCCC